CCCATAAAGGCTTAAGACTATTTCCAAAACACAAGCTCTTTCTCTATCCCAATCCTCTTCTTCTTCCCCCCTTCTATCCCAACCCATTTTCTCTCTCACTTGATCTACTACTTTTCTTTCCTCTTCCCACCATTATCGGTAACATCACAAGTCTTCTTGACCAACAACCTTTCCTTTTTTTCCTTTTTTTCCTCCCTTTCTTTCTTTCTCTTTTTTTGTTATCAAAACTTTTTCTTCCTTTTTTTTTCTTTCTTTCTTTTTTTTTTCTATCAAAATTGCATCTCTCCTTCTCCTAGTGTAGTTGCTGGCACCTCCCACTCTCTTCGTTTTCCTCTTTTTTCTTTTTTCTTTTCAAAAGAAAACTCTTTTTTCTTTTAATAATCTTCCCCTTTCAAGATCTACTGTCGATTTGAAGAGCTTGGTACAAAAATTCATAGTCAACCATGAATATTGCAATAAACAGTACTATCTACCCAAAGATAAGATCTCTAATTTTTAGATTTCAAGATTCATTTTATCAGTTTGAAGCTTATTAGAGATCATGAAAGAATTAGGACATAACCTACCTTTTAAGGATCGAATACATGTATCTATATATTTTCAAGGTTGTTTTTATGTTTTGTCTTATTTGCAATGATTTGTTGCTTTCCTAAATGTGTATTATGCAGCTTGTAGGCTTGTTATGTAGGTATTCAATGCAGGTTTGTAAATAGGGGATTTTATATAGACTTAGGATCTCTTGGGTGAATGGTTGAGCTGGCTTTGCTCCTTTTGGGTAAATGGGTTTTTGTTTCCAAATTTGTTCTTCAATCTCAAATGTTGATTGAAATATGGATGATGTGTCAACTTTAAAATCTATTATTTGAGAAAAAAAAATAAAAGTTAGAAAGAGCTCTAACCAACCACTTTATCTTCAAAATATGTTTCAAAAGTCTTTATTGAAGTTAATGAAGAATGAGGTAGAACTGATTTTACTTAAAATTAATTAATTATTGTTAATCCCTCCAAAATAATTTTATTTCAACATGTATGTAATTTGAGTAATCTTTTCTCTCTTTTCTATTATTTTTGGATAATATTTGTTGAGTTTAATTAAATTGGTAAGGTATTACTTTTTTAGATTATAATGTTTTTAAATATTGTTTTGAAGAAAACTTTTGAAGATAATTTTTTTAAAAAAAATTGAATACTGAAAAATATTTTTCATAAGATAATCCAAACAATAGCAAATATTTTTGATAGTTTATCTAAATAATAGAAAATATTAGATTTTCAAGTAAAATATTTTACACAAAAAAAATTTAGAAGGTATTTTATGATTATCAAACAAACCTTAAATAAATTGTAATTTGCATCTTATTATGCGACGCTTATTCTAGGCACAATTGTCAACTTCAATAATGGGATTTACTCAAATAACTAGAAATGATAAGTTTCCTCAAGGAATTATCTAGGTGAGAGGATTTTTTCAGATTTTACTATAATGAAGGAAGGGTCTAGGAAATGTTTTCTATAAAAGGTTGTTGATTGTAATAAATAATTAAAAATTTACAATTTATTGGCACACACTCAAATATCTAATGTACAAATAATGATCTCGATAATGAGATTTCCTCGTAAAACTCAAAAAGATAAGTTTCTTAAAAAATTCTCTAGGTGAATGAACATTTTTTGATTTTACCAAAAAATTGAGAGAGTCTAGGAAATGCCTTTAATTAACAATCTTAGCTCATATTTAATAAATTGAAATTCATAAACAGATACCCTACATTCATTACATGTTCATTGCATGTATATTTAAATTTTGAAATAAAGCTCGACCAATAATCCTAATGATGAGATTTCTCCAGAAGCTTATAAAGATAAGCTTTCTAAGAAATTCTCTAAGTGAGAAGATATTTTCAAATTTTACCAAAAAGATAGGAGGACTTGGGAAATGTCTTCAATTAAAAAATTATCATTCATAATTAAATAAAGTTAAATATTAAATATTAAGGTTAAAATAAGATAACAAGTAATTATTTGGTATCATTCATTGAACGAGCATCACGAGCATGCAATTCTTTCCTGTGTGTAATCATATTCCCGAATCTAATTAAAAAAAATACATAGACCAAGTTTTGTTTTTTAGACAAATCCAAAATTAACTTAAGACCTTATCAAAAAGAACAACTTAAATAGATGGTCAATTGCACCTTACAAAAAATTTGGTAACGACTCTAAATTTTCATTTCGAGACAAAATGGGTTCCCAGACCCTCATGTAATGATAATTATACTACTCATGTTGCTCACTTTTGATTTAAGATATATGATATATTCAAGTGTGAATTACTGATAACTTTATGTTATAGTCATTTTGTCAAATTTGGGCATTAAATTGACTAAGTTTTGAGAATTAGTTTAGAAATTAGATATTTTTATTTTTAATTAAGTTTAGTAAATCATGGTAAGTTAATTTAATTTAAGTTATTTTATTTTAATTTAATGATAATTTTCTTTTAGTGTAGCTATTATAAAGTGAGTTTATTGCTTTTGTAGGTGTGCAAATGAGAAAGGCTTAAATTGATAAAGAAGAGTGCATAAAAGGTTCATGTTTCTCCTAAATATCTTCTAGTAATTTGAACATAACTCTAATTTTAAAAGTTCAACTAACATGATTTTTGAGGCAATAAAAATCTAAGAGATAAGACTACAATTTTCATATTTACCACTTTGCTCAATTTAGTCTAAAAGAAGGAGAAAATTATGTCACAAGTTGAAGGAGTGCAACAAAGCAAGGAAGAAAAGACAGAACCTTGGGCATTGTGGCCTTGGATAATTGGGCAATTAGCTCAGTTAAGTAAACATGAGAAATTTAACATAAGAAGTTAATTAAGTCAAATAAACATAATTTTTTGAAATATTAAATATTTAATTTTATAAACTCGAGTTTAAAGTGTTTAACGGTTTATAAACTTTAATTTATAAATGAATAATAGTAAGGATAAAAAAATTATAGTGGAAATTAGTAATTGAAAATTTTTAACATAAAGTAACGAAAAAACTTATAAAGAAGAAATAAGCAATGTTTAGATATTGACGTAAATGCATGAGATTTAATATAACAAGTCAATTCATCAAATAAATATAATTTTTTGAGAAATTAAACATTGAAATTTATATTCTCAAGTTTAAAGTGTTTAACTATTTACAAATTTTAATTTGTAAACTAATGATAGTAAGGATAAAAATAATTATAGAAAACATTAGTATTTGAAAAACTTTCACTATTTGTAAGAATTAATGTAAAAACTTATAAATATAGAATAAGCAATATCAAAACATTGACATAAATGTGTGAGATTTAATATAACAAGTTAATTAAGTTAAATAAACATAATTTTTTTAAAAATTAAATATTTAAATTTATATTCTCGAGTTTAAAGTGTATCACGGTTTACAAATTTTAATTTATAAATGAATAATAGTAATTATAAAAATAATTATAGTGAAAATTAGTAGTTGAAAAACCTTGACATAAACTTGTAGGAATTAATGTAAAAACTTATAAAGATGGAACAAACACTGTTAAAATATTGACATAAATATGTGAGATTTAACCTAACAAGTCAATTAAGTCAAATAAATATAATTTTTTAGAAAATTAAATATTTAAATTTATATTATAGAATTTAAAGTATTTAACGGTTTATAAATTTTAATTTATAAATGAATAATAGTAAAGATAAAGATAATTATAATAAAAATTAATAATTAAAAAACCTGGATGCAAACTTACAAGAATGAACGTAAAATTTTATAAAAGTGAAACAATCAATGTCAAAATATTGATATAAACTTGTGAGACTTAACGTAACACGTAAAATAAACATAAACTTTTAAGAAATTAAACATTTAAATTTATATTCTTAAGTTTAAAGTGTCTAACGGTTACAAATTTTTAATTTTTAAACAAATAATAGTAAATATAAAAAGAATTATAACAAAAACTAGTAGTTAAAAAATCTTAACATAAACTTATTAATTTAATGTAAAAACTTATTAAGAGGGAACAAGCAACGTCAAAATATTAACGTAAACTTATGAGATTTAATGTAACAAGTCAATTAAGTCAAATAAATATTATTTTTAGAAAAAATAAATATTTAAATTTATATTTTCAAGTTTAAAGTGTTTAACGGTTTACAAACTTTAACTTATAAATGAATAGCTGTAAAGATAAAAATAATTATAGTAAAAATTAGTAGTTAAAAAACTTTAATTTAAACTTATAAAAATTAACGTAAAAACTTATAAAAAAATAACCACTATCAAAACATTAACGCAAACCTATGGAATTTAATGTAATAAGTTAATTAAATCAAATAAATATAATTTTTTAAAAAATTAAATATTTAAATTTATATTCTTAAATTTAAATTATAACGATTTACAAATTTTAATTTATAAATGAATAATAGTAAATATAAAAATTATTATAATGAAAATAGGTAGTTGAAAAACCTTAATTTAAACCTGTAAGAATTAACGTGAAAACTTATAAAGATGAAATAGGTAATATCAAAATATTGATGTAAACTTGTGAGATTCAACGTAACAAGTTATGATAATAAATTTAATTGAATTAAATTAGTTAATATAATATTAATATTTAAAAAATAATTTTTTATATTTTTAGATAAAAATGGTACAAAAATTCAAATTAAATAACATTTAAAATATTATACATAAATTTAAAATTTACTTATGTTGTTAACATAAAATGGATAAGTTTATAAATTATTTACTTTGTTTATCTGTTAATCAGATTTTTATTTATATTTTTAAAATTAAATTAATTAACCTTACAGCAAGGTAAATGTAGAGCATTTATATATATATATATATATATATATATATTTTCATTTTCTTTGTTGATATTATACCATAACTTTTCAATGTAGAAATCACCAAGAACTGGGGCTCTCGGTGCAGCTTCAGGGGTATAGCATAAAAGGACTCAGATTGATACATAAATTCCATCGTAAAAGATTCCCAGAATCAACGAGCAAATGAAAGAGAAACAAAAGTCAACTATACAATTAACCTTTCCACACTGGGTCCTTGCCAGAACTGCAACCATGTTTTTCTTTGAGGCCCTCTCCACTATACGAGAAGTCATTGTCTCCAAATTCTTTAACTTTCTGCTGCACAAGTTGGGCTCTTCCAATTTCTTGCAATTTGCCAGTGAAAAACAGATTCACGAGGGGATCCACAAGTTGAGGAAGGCATTGCAGGAGATTCATGCAGTGCTTGATGATGCTGAGGAGAGGCAACTAAAGGATCAGTTAGTGAAAATCTGGTTGTCCAACGTCCAAAACTTGGCCTACGATGTGGATGACATTTTGGATGAGTTTGCAACAAAAAACTTTGAGATGCAATTTGATGGTGAAACGTCGAGGTAGCTCATGTAAGAAACCCAGGTTCATGATTTATGATTCATACAATGCTGTTTTGTTTAACAGGGACATGATGTCCAAGATAAATGATGTCATTGCCAGATTGAAAGATTTAGAACCACAAAAAGATCAGTTACAGTTAAGGGTGATTGACTGCCATAAATCCAAAAGGATAGAAGAACGGCAGCAGGCCAGTTCTGTGGAGATTGAAACTCATGTGTATGGTAGAGACAAAGACAAGGAGGTTTTACTTGAATTGCTCCTCAACAGTGATGATGGAGGACATTTTATGATTCCCATCGCTGGTATGGGAGGGATTGGCAAGACAACCTTGGCCCAACTTGTTTACAATGATACTTGTGTTCAAAATCATTTTCACCTCAAAGCATGGGTTTGTGTTTCTGATGATTTTGATATCACAAGAATAATGAAAACAATTTTACGATCAGTCAGGGTTTAGAGCCAGGCAATGACAATAAGTTGACTTCACTTTAAGAAAAATTTATTGGAGAAAAAAATTTCTGATTGTTTTGGATGACGTTTGGAATGAGAATTATCATAATTGGACCATTCTATAATCTCCTTTTCTAACAAGGACTCCAGGAAGCAAAGTTATTGTGACAGCATGAAATCTTGATGTTTCAGCTACAATGGGTGCTTCTCGTGCTCATTCTTTAAAATTTTTTATCAAAGGATGATTGTTTATCTATATTTGCTCAACATGCATTAGGATCAACAAATTTTCGAGGACATCCCAACCTAAAGAAAGTTGCTAAGAAAATAGTGAGAAAGTGCAACGGTTTGCCTTTGGCTGCTAAAACCCTTGGAGGCTTATTATGTACTAATGTTGACCACGATGCTTGGAAAGAGATACTAGAAAGTGAGATATGGCAACTATCAGAACATCGCTATGGTATAATTCCGGCTCTACCATTAAGTTACCATCATCTTCCACTACATTTGAAGCGACGCTTCACCTATTGCTCTATCCTTCCTAAGGATTATGAATTTAAAGAAGAAGAAATAATCTTGTTATGGAGTGCAGAAGGCTTTCTACACGAAGCACAAGACAAACAACAAATTAAAGATTTGGGTCACAAGTACATTAGAGATCTACTATCAAGGTCTCTTTTGCAAATATCCAACAAAGATAATTCTCAGTTTGTTATGCATGATCTCATTAATGATCTGGCTTAATCAGTTGCTGGAGAAATATGTTTTAGAATAGAAGGTGATAAGAAAATTTCGAAGCAAAGCTCGCCACTTATCTTACATGGGTAGCAAGTATGATGCCATCAAAAAATTTAAGGGGATTTGTGAAGCTAAGCATTTACAAACCTTTTTGCCTTTCAGGTTGTCAAATAATAGATGTTGCTATGTAACCAACAATGTTCTAATATATTTGGTGCTAGATTTAAGGTGCTTGAGGGTGCTTTCTTGAAGAAGGTATCAGATCACAGTGTTGCCAAATTTTGTCAGAGAGTTAAAACACTTACGGTATTTAGATTTTTTTTTTAAACTCTTATTAAAAGCTTGCCCGAGTCAGTGAGTACCCTCCATAATTTAAAAACCCTTTTCTTAATTTAGTGTGGGAAGCTACAGAAGCTACCTACAGAGATGGAACACCTAGTCAACTTATGTCATCTTAATATCATCAATGCACATAGATTAGAAGGCATGCCAAGTAATTTTGGTACATTAACTGATCTTCAAACACTATCCAATTTTGTTATGGGTAAAGGTGAGGGCTATCAAATAAGGGAGCTAAAGAATTTATCCAATCTCAATGGTCAACTTGTATTTCTAGGTTAAAGAATGTTATTGAAACTCAAGATGCATGGAAGGCTAAGTCACAAGATAAGGCAAGACAGGATGAGTTAGAATTGGAGTGGAGTGGAGACTTTGATAATAGAGTGGTCCAATATAGAACACATACCTTGTGTGCAAATTCATGGCAGTATATCTATGATTTTAGATGGTCCTGGTTCAGATGGTGATGCTTTAGAAAATTATGATTCAGGGTATGGTTCTGGTTTAGATGATTATAATTCAAAGGATGATGTCCTTTGGCGAATTGTGATTCTTGCCTATACCTTATTTCTTTGGTTTGATGTCCTTTTATTGTTATTATCTCTTGGCTACAACAATTGGCCATGTACAACCCTCATCTTCATATATACATGGTGCATGCCCTCTTTGGATTTCATATTTATAACCCAAACTTTATTTTTGATTCACTTTTAGCATGGCTCCATCTCTCCCTAACCATGATGGAATGGAAATTTGGTCCATGTTTCATTTGATGCTAAAGAAACATTTTTACACACGGAACAATGGGTTGAAGCTGGTTATGTCAGTATGTCAGTCAATGTACAGAATTCCAATTGTCTGCCAAAGAGATACTGTATTTTCAATGTTGAAACTAAAATTCAAAGTTGAAGAAGATAAATCTTAGCTTTAGAATTTATGGCTGATAAATATTACTATCTGAATCTATTGTAGAATTAATATGAATGCAATATAATGTCAGGGTGTGTGTCCTAACTTCCAAGTTCAATTGCTATCAAAACTTGTTATGGTATTTTCTAAAACCTTGATGCTATATTGATGGTAAGAACTGTAAACTTCAATGTTACATGATGGAATAATGTTTCTGATTATTATTTCATATATGTACAACTTTTAATTTTTAAAATTTTTTTCATCTCATTACTCTTTTATTATAACACTATAAATATATTAATATTCACCATTTGTGTAAATGATGATCATTAAAATATTTTTTTATTATAATTATTAATAACATTTATTTAATTTATAAATAAAAATTTTAATTGCGTTGAATGATTTCATTAAAAAATATTTTTAAATTTTAATAGCATTAAATAATTTAAAATTAATATTTTAATTTAAAATTTTTTAAATTAAATATTAATATTCATCAAACTTATACTTTTAAGTTTAGTATAAGAGTTTTTTTTTTGTTTTCTAAAAAATATGTTATGTCCCTTAATTTTTTGTGATCAATGGGTATTTTTCCTGTTAACTTGTAAAATTTTTTACATTTGAAATAAAATTTTTGTCTTCAAAACAAGTATAAGTATTGAAAATATTTTCTAAAAAATATTTTATGTCAAAATAAATGGACATTGTATTGAGTTTTTCAACAATGTAACTTAATTAATGACATTGTATGGAATGGTGGTGCATATCCCTTGTACTAATTCTATCTCCGTGGAAGGTCTTGCGTTGTTAATGAAAATAGGCCATTGGCTTTTGATTTATCCCCATTCTGCTGGTAAATGGGGTGGGCTTTAAAACCAGGTTCTAGTTGTCCCATTTGTGCCTCAATTAGGAGAAAATATTAAATAAGATTATTTTTCACCAGCCTGCTTCGGTGTAATTTATATTCTTGAAGGACAGACCGAATTCCCATCCGGCTGAAATTCTCCAGTCTTGTTGTATCATTGATGCAGGGACACAACACTAACTGTTTGCTTCCTGAGATAATCCGAATGCCAATCTTTATAAGCAGGACAATTTCAGCCCCATCATGAATCTAATAAACTCGAAGCTGGATGCCATTGTCTTCGTAGCGAAGGTCTTGCTTGTCAACCTCGACCCCAAGCAGCTGCTTCACTCGCATTTTCAATTCACCGACAGTTGCATCAAAGGGGGTGCCTCCCTCATTGGCTCCATCTTCATGTCAGCAAATTGATCACCAAGCCTATAATCCGTCGAGTGGAACAAAAGCCAAGCCAGTATGTCATACAAAGGTTTAAGTTTGTATGCATGCATCTTCTTTTGTATATGCTGGAACCAAACCAGCAATGCTCCAACTGACCGCAAGCCAAAACTTTCTTCAGTTTAATCTCATCATGTACAAGAACCTTGGGATTCTTATCGTCGGGCCAATCAAACTCCATTAAGAATCAGATTCCCCAATCCATAACCCATATCAGACTCATGTGCTTTAATCCAACATAACCCCAATGATCAGTCTCTTTTCCTGGACCCCGGCTGGACCAAACAAGTTTGAAAGTGTCATTAACAATAAGGATTTTGGCAGGGTGATAGAAAGAGCAAAACAAAATGCTCATTATTCTTATGAGTTATGGCTTTCCCTAGCCGGTGATATCAATTCTTGCTTCTGTACACCTCTGGTTTTTAAATAAATCAGAGTAGAGAGACATTGTAATTTCGAAAAATAACAGAAAAAGCCAAACTTGTTGGAAAATATGTAATTACTTAGTAGGTCAATGATGCCTTAGTGATAACTGTGTTCTTGGTTGATATCTGGTTTGATGGGAAATTTTAACTCTATCAAGCAATAAAGACTTGAAAAAAAAAAAGTAATATCAAGAAAGGGGATAAAACTTTTGATAAGGAAAATGTCAACAAAGAGATGAACTAAACAAGCATTACCTACTGCAAAATGTTGAAACCAGCATGAGGTTAGAGTAGCAATGAAAATTCCTAAAGACTAAACAAAGAAAATGAAAAAGTTTCATCATCCATTGGTAACCATTCCGGGGAAGATTTCAATGGTATCACCATTGGCAACATCTTGCCACCTAAACGATTTATGATCGTCCAGTATACTCTGTTTATGTATGAAGAAGTAACCTTCTACAGGGAGATTGATCTGATTTCTTTGCTGCAACTTTTCCAGTTCTTTTCTCAGCTCTTCCACATTATCCGACGGATTGACTTCCACCGGTATCTTCACGGTCCCCTGCCAGGGCAACACCATCACCTTGAGCTGTTTGGTCCCCTTCTTGGCCCTCTTCGACGACCCTGCCTCTGAATGTATGGCCGTCGGCTTGATAAATACGTCAATCTCAGCATTATCCGTGAGCTCACAGTCCCGTAAAGATCGATGGTCTTGCAACTCCGCCCTGTTTGACTGGAGCACCAACCTGTTGACAGGGATAGGTTCCATGTCATGAATCTTTTCTTTTAACCGTAGGACGGTGTCGTCCACGTCCATCTCAAGAGGAACAGAGTCCCTGGAGGATGGTATCTTGATCTTCAGTTGGATTTTCTTGGACGGCAAAGGTTCTTCTTCATTAATCTCGACTGTCCCTGAAGGAATGGCCGTCGGGTTGACAAATACGTTAATCTCAGCGTCATCTGTGAACCCATAGTCTCGTAAAGATTGATGGTCTTGCAACTCCTCCCCGTTCGACTTGAGTAGGAACCTGTTGACAATGTTAGGGATAGGTTCCATCTCATGAATCTTTTCTTTTAACTGTAGGATGGTGTCGTCCTCGTCCATCTCAAGAGGAACGTAGGCGTCGGAGGACGGTGTCTTGATCTTGAGCTGGATTTTCTTGGACGGGGAAGATTCTTGTTCATTAATCTCCATCACTTGAGGTTCATTGGCGATGAGGAGTTGAACTCGACAGTCCTGGAAGAGTGCACAATACTCGACATCTCGCTCATCCTCGAGAACTTTGCCATTGAATGCAAGAGTTTGTCTAGCCACAGGAATTCCCTGGTACATGTGCACCTTTTCTTTGATTTCCAGGACAGTGTCAAAGAAGCCGATTTCAATGGAGAAAGCTGTGCCTTCCGGGGTCTCAAAGATGATATCCATTTCAAAAGCTTGAAGACTTGGGATACAAAGCTAGAGCCCAGAGATGAATGAATGGGGAGACTTCTCTTAAGTTTTTGTGCTTGAGAGAGAGGGAAATGATCCTTTAAATCATTATATATGAAATTAATAGATTAAAAAAGTTCAATCGAAATAAATTATTATAAATGTACTAAATTCATACAAAAGCTAATTACATAACTTTATATTTTTTTTTTCAATTTTTATGTTGACTTGAATGATATTAACTTAAATGATTAAATTAATTTTAATCGAGTTTCACCTATATTCAAATAAATTATATTAAATTAAAACCACTTAATTGTAATTAATAGAATTTTAATAGTGGTTTTAATAAAGACGTAATGCTTTATAATGGTCAAATTAGATACTATGTTTCTATTTATATACATATATATATTCTTAAAATATATTATTTAACTATATAATTACATTCTATATATATTTAAATAAAAAAAATTAAATATGCAATTTAACTCTTAATTGCACAAATTGTTATATGTGTACTAAATCCATATACGGACTAATTGTAATTTGATTTTTTTTTAAACTTTTACGTGGACTTGATATTAACTCGAACGATTAAACTAATTTTAATTGAGTTTCACCTATTTCAAATAGATTATATTAAATTAAAACCACTTAGTTGTAATTAATGGAATTTGAATCTTGATTTTAAAAAAGACATGATACTTTATAATGATCAAATTAGATACTATGTTTATATACATATTCATAAAATATATATGATTTAACTATATAATAACTAAATTCTAGAAATTTTATGTGTATAAACATATTATGCAATTTAATTGTTAATAATTAATTAATAATAAACATGAGAAAAAGACAAAAGGCTACATAAGAACCGCGAAGGTTTCAACTTTACAAGGGAATTTCCCTCTCTAATGCCTTTGTATCTCTAAGTTAAATAGTTCAAATATTGGTTCGTATATTCCTTCCTTGGATTTTTCTTTTCTTCTTTCAGTAGAAGTCCAAGTCGAAAGGTTTATTGGGTTTTGTGTTTTGCTGTTCACTTCTTCGAAAATTGCTTTCCTCTGTCTCTCTGGGTCTCTCACTGGCGCCCTAAGCACAGCAACGACGAGGGAAGATGAATGCCCCAATTATTGGTAAGACGTCTTCTCTCTTTCGGGCTTTCAGGGGTTTTTTATATATATATATTTTTTGGGGTTTCTGCTGATTAATGTGAAAATAAAATTGGGTTTTTTGGTGGAAGATCCGCTGCAAGGAGATTTTCCAGAGGTGATAGAAGAGTATTTGGAGCATGGGGTTATGAAATGCATTGCCTTTAATCGCCGTGGTACCCTTCTCGCCGGTAACTCTCTCTCTCTCTTCTACTTTTTAATTTGTTAAAAAGAATGTGGCTATGATGGGTGTCTTTGAAGAATTGGGTTAAACAATATTTGGGGGAGTTTTTCTTTGAGAATTCAGCTACTTTGAGTTGCAAAATATATATATATATTTTTTCCCTTTGGGTTAAGAATTACTGGACTGTTTCTTCACAAAAAAAAAAAAATTACTTGGAGGTTTATTAGGATGAAATTTGAAGAAGAATAAGAGAAAGAAAACCCCATGTAGATTTGTCAATAACTTCACACAATCTGAAGAAGAAAAGAAGAAAAGAAGAAAATCCCATAAAATATCACATCATTTCCTCATGTACAATTTTGTATAAACAGTGTTGGCTTATTTTCTCTGTTTTAATGTGTTTTCTGTCACTTTTTAATCTGTTTTCTAAATTTAAGTTGATAAGTTTATTTATTGTTGAAGAGTAGGCTATTTAGTTCGTTAGAACAAGTCTGGTGATTTCCATACTAGATAATTTTAAAGTAATTGTTATTTGCAATCTAACGATTGTTTTAATAGTAAGAAAGGAAGTAAGGATAACTGATAACTACATTATTCCTTCTACAAAGATTTTCTTTTCCTTTTTTTTTTTTGGTTATTAAGTTTATGAAATTATGCACAGTTCGGACTATGATTCTGTTGAACCTGCGATTTTGTTATTTTTTTCATACTCTCTTTCATAGATTAAGAAAATCCTGTAAGTAAATCATGAGGTCTTCTCAAATTTATTCCCAATTGATGGTTTTGGTTTCCACATTCTATGCCAGCTGGATGCTCTGATGGAAGTTGTGTTATTTGGGATTTCGAGACTAGGGGCATTGCAAAGGAGCTTAGAGATAGACACTGTGCTGCTGCTATAACAAGTGTTTGCTGGTCAAAGTATGGTCATCGTATTCTGGTGTCTGCTGCTGACAAGTCGTTAACACTTTGGGATGTTGTCAGTGGCGAGAAGGTGACACGTATAGTTCTGCAGCAAACCCCTCTACAAGCTCGTCTACATCCTGGTTCTTCAATTCCATCTGTTTGCTTAGCTTGCCCCTTATCATCTGCTCCAATGATAGTTGACTTAAGTACTGGTAGTACAACTGCACTGCCAGTCACTGTTCCTGATATGGGCAATGGTGTTGCTCCTCCTTCACGCAATAAGAACCCTGATACAACCCCTTTCACGCTAACTGCTGCATGCTTTAACAAGAATGGGGATCTGGTATATGTGGGGAACTCCAAAGGTGAAATACTTATAATAGATCACAAAAACGTTAAAGTACTTGCTATGATTCCCATTTCTGGTGGTGCTGTGATCAAGAACATTGTTTTCAGCAGAAATGGGCAGTATCTCCTGACAAATTCAAATGATCGAATTATCAGGATTTATGAAAATCTTCTGCCTCTGAAAGATGGTCTAAAAGCTCTTGATGACCTTAATGAGACCATTGAAGAGGAAGATACTGTTGAGAAGATGAAGGCTGTTGGATCCAAATGCTTAGTTCTTTTTCGGGAGTTTCAAGATTTAATCACAAAGATGCATTGGAAAGCACCTTGTTTCAGTGGTGATGGTGAGTGGGTAATAGCGGCTTCTGCTAGCAAAGGAGAGCACAAGATCTACATATGGGACAGGGTTGGTCATCTTGTAAAAATACTCGAAGGTCCCAAGGAAGCAGTGTTTGATTTAGCGTGGCATCCTGTCCACCCTATTATCGTTTCTGTTTCCTTGACTGGCTTGGTTTATATATGGGCTAAAGACTACACTGAAAACTGGAGTGCATTTGCTCCGGATTTCAAAGAGCTTGAGGAAAATGAGGAGTATGTAGAACGAGAAGATGAATTTGATCTGGTGCCTGAAACTGAAAAGGTGACAGAAAAAAGACTATGTGAATGAATCATTTGTCACTCCTTGTGTCTCTAAAATGTTCTTATTGTTGCAGGTGAAAGAGTCAGACGTGAATGAAGACGATGAGGTTGATATTGTGACAGTGGAGAAGGATCCATTCAGTGATTCAGATATGTCACAAGAAGAATTATGCTTCTTGCCAGCCATTCCTTGTCCTGATGTTCCTGAGCAGCAAGACAAGTGTGTGGGAAGTTCTTCAAAGTTGATAGATAGTAATCATTCTGGATCCCCTCTTTCAGAAGAGAATGGACAGAATGGGCAAGCAACCAACAATGCATCAAGTCCACTTGAAGGTAAATTTGTGCCCCTCAAAAGTTTTGCAAATGTTTTACAGTTCTTTCAATCCAGTTTACAAGGAATAACATGCTAGCTGCATAAATCAGTGAAGTTTGTTGGTCCCTATTTTTTAAAATAGGTTCAACATAAATGAGTTTAGAACCCACATGAGTTGTAGGGCAATCTTTCGTGTTACTCTTAATGGTAGCAGTGGTGATGCCAACTTTGTAGAAAATGGGAATTCTGAACTTTGGGTTTTGATATGTAGTTATTATGTGTGGATTATGCTTGCTGCCATTATAACATACAATAACTAAGTCTGTATGATGTATAAAAGTTTCTATTAAGCCACTTGGGCTTAATTTGTGTTATTGGGATGGATAGAGGGATCTGGTAGAGTTCTTAATTAAAATTTTAGAGTTAATTCTCTTATACAAGAAGAGAAAATGTTATTTCTTTGTTTTACTTCTATTCTCTATGTAATGAACTTTTAAAAAAAAAGTAACCGTGTAATCTATTATTACGTGTTTGTAGTTCTTCTTATATGATTTCTTAATTTCACTACATATTTTGTTTGGTTATAGTTGAAAATGACTAAAAGTTTTAAGTCAAATTTTAGTAACAATTAATTATGCTTTGTGGGGAAACATTGTGCAAGTAAGCATTAATTGCAGTAATTGCTGGAAAATTTTGAGTTTATACACATGCATATTCACTATAAATGTGGACTCTACACATTTGATGATTTTTTTTCTAGTTCATTTAAATTTTGTAACAGTATTATTATTTTGTAAATAGAAGCAATCCCTCTACACCAAAGTTTTCATTGATTTCAGGTGTAATATCACTATTGCAATTTCACCTGTTAGTAGTAAAAGCTAGTCATGATAAATGTAAATGTTCAGAATTTCCAAGGGGAATGCAATTATGTAACTTTGTCATTGAGTTGGGTCAGGATGCAGGTATTTTGTCCTAACTTAGATTTACTTGGTCTGGTGTCTCCCATTGACAATCTCAAGTTGATTATTATCAAATGCAACCAATTTAAGTAACCAAACCTTCAATGGATTGGTGGGCTGGCATGGTTCTGACAGAATGTTTGGCCTGGCTAAATTTTCAACCCAATCATATTTAGTGTAGAAATCTCCAGTATTATGGAAATAATGAGTGAACTAAAATGGATGTTTATGAAGACAAAAAAAAGTAAAGTGGAAGAATCTTAAGGAGTTTGATGCATTCTGAGTCAGTTGCATTTGAATCAAACTTTATTTTAATTGAATCTTTACCTTTAAGCTAAGAGAAAGGGGGCTTGGTGAGCATGTGTGGAAAATAGATCAAGTTCACTAGTGTCGCTGCTAATGAATTGAGTTTTGCTGGATGGCTGTGATTGTTTTGTATGTAAGATGTAGGAAGAGTCAAAATTGCTTTGGTTGTCCTATCTAGGAGA